AAACAACAACAACAAAACCCAACAAAAAATGTCTTGCTTCTCATACTCACAAGGATACCATGAGTTTATGCCCTGGCACCTCATAACCCAAAGCCAGTCACAGTTACAATGGATAACATTTTCAGTAGGGGAATAGAGTGGAGTCCTATGGTTCTGGACTGTCCTGTCTCTTAGCCTGTTTATAACACTGGAAGACCAACTCATGAAAGAGAAACTGTCATCCCAGCCAAAACCTGGAAGAGGATTAATGGTAACACAGATTGAATTCTGTGTCGAAACAGAGCCTTGTCAGGCAAAGCCAGTCCTTGTTCTCTTAGCTTCCAAGTTTGTGCACCACATCAGGGAAGAGTCCAGGTAAGACAAATGGGAATGTCTCCTACTGCTACCAGTCCCCATGGACAAAAATACTGGAAATAAGATCCTGAAGGTGACTTCACTTTTTTTTTTTTTGTACAGGAGAACATATCCTCAGAGTGCATTGGATGCCTCTTACCACCTACCAAGACATGATAAACCCATGTTCCTCAGTTCCTTTGCACGTCCAAAACATCCTTTCAGTTTCCAGGCTAGCATGTCATGCATAGTGAAACAACCATCTGGAGGAAACAAAATAGTTCAGATGAAGATTTGGAGATGGTCATCATCGCATGCATTCCAACATGTGTCCTCCTGTGTTCCTGGACTGTGATCTGTTCTAAGGACTCTGGAATCAGAAGGCTCCTACATGCTGAGGAGGATCTTCAGGTACACTCCCTTGGGCTCCTCTGCCAGATCCTGTAACCTGCACTGGCATGCAATATTGCTAAAGAGAACACACCCATCTCCTTGAGTTGGGTAGAGAAAGCAATGAAGCAGGTCAATGTCTTAGGAGAAAAAGTAATTTTCAGTTACCCTGCTCAGTAGTATCTGGGACCAACACCATCTGAATACATATGTCATCCCTGCCTAGATGAGCAGCTTCTGATCACTATCACCCATGAGCTCCTGTGCACATGCTCCTTGCACTGAAGGCTGGATTGACCATCGATCAACCCAGGCAGGATCCTTGAGGCAGTGCCCCTCTAACACATTCACAGTCATCTGAAGTAGTAGGTATATCAGAGATGACTGCCAGAGTCCCCACTGCCAGATGCTGAATAGCAGACTCTTTACCCCCCACCAGGAAGATTTCTTACAGGATGAATCTGTTCCTCTAACAGGGCATTTCCTAGTTCTCTTGTCCTGGCATCTCATTGGCAACCACCGTCCCTTTCTCATGGTCCTTGGCTGCAAGGTTATTAGGCAGCAGAGGTGGGCATGGCTCCAACACCTCCCAGAGATATGACTTACTATAAGCAGAGCATATGGAAGAACACCTCAAACTGGTTACAGCTCTTACATCAGGTTAAGGATGCTCAAAGCCATCTCTGTCACAAGCAGACGCAATGGTGTGGCCTGGTTAAAATACCCTCTGGAGTAGCCATGAGTCTCACAATGCAGTGAAGAGCCAAGAATGAAGAGCGAAAGAGTTTTCTGTGGTGAAGACAAAGACAGAAGAGGTCTCTCAGCGAATCCAGCGTGTTTAGATGTGGTAGCCATACAGCCCTTAAACTGCCTGAGAAGTGTGACAGACAGAGGAGAGATGGTAAGGATACTTCCAAAAAACCCTGACACATTCCTTTAGCTATAACATGAGCTGAAGCATCAGAACAGACTGCAGCAATGTGAACAGACTGTGGGTAGCATCAACATGTGACAGTTAAGAGGAGGTTACTATTGCAAATTGTTGTCTCTAGACCAGCCACAAGAAACCTGACGGAAGGGTCATGTGTTTCCTCTTGGGTTTCTTACTCATTTCCCCAAATGTGCTAGGTCTTGACTCAAGACAGACATGCTTATTATCAGCCAAGCTTGTTTCTGGTGTCCCCCACAGACTGTTGTCTCCCTGGATTCTACCCACCTGCATGCTGGCCCGTAGTCCTGATCCTGAACTTCTCTTAATCCATGTTGTTTTATCCTCATTGTCCCTATCTTATTGCTAAATCTGCACTGAACCCTATTACTGCCTTTTTTTTCTTCTTCTTCTTTTTTTTTTTTTTGGTGAAACACCTTTTTTTAACTTACATTGCTCTTGGACAAAAGTCAGTTACCTTTTAGTTGTCTCTCGGTACATTTTTACTAGCAACTCTCCCAGGGCTAGGATGAAAATGATTTTAAATGAGTGAACTTCAGTGGCCACTCCTGACTCCCTGGATGGGTTCACGTTGCCTTGGGTGGGTTCATCAAGGTCTAGGATTAGTAAAGGGGGAGATCTGGAGACATGACATGAAGATGATGGCTGAAAACAAGTTTTGGGTTAAGGATTCAAAACTAAGTTGGCAGGTCTGAGGGGCTGTTGTGGTTTAACCCCAGACAGCAACTAAGTACCATGCAGCCGCTTGCTCACTTCCCCTCCTACCGCATGGGATAAGGTAGAGAATTGGGAGGGAAAAAAAGTAAAACTCGTGGGTTGAGATAAGAACAGGTTAGTAGGACAGAAAGGAAGAAAATAACAATGATGATAACAATAATAATAAAATGACAATAATAATAATAAAATAATTGGAATATACAAAACAAGTGATACACAATGCAGTTGCTCACCACTTGCCGACCAATGCCCAGTTAGTTCCCGAGCAGCGATCCACCCCGCCCAGCCAACTCCCCTCAGTTTATATACTGTACATGACGTCACACGGTATGGAATATCCCTTTGGCCTCTTTGGGTCAGCTGTCCTGGCTGTGTCCCCTCCCAACTTCATGTGCTCCTCCAGCCTTCTTGCTGGCTGGGGATGAGAAGCTGAAAAATCCTTGGCTTAGTCTAAACACTGCTTAGCAACAACTGAAAACATCAGTGTGTTATCAACACTATGCTCATACAAAATCCCAAACATAACACTATACCAGCTACTAGAAAGAAAATTAACTCTATCCCAGCCGATACCAGGACAGGAGCCCGAGGGTCTCAGTGCCAACAACTGGAGATATCCAGTCTGGGTGCGAGCTACCGGACAAACCAGCTATTCAAGGGACCCACATTATGTGCATATGTGAACCACTAGCACACTTCAAACTGGACAACAGGAAGAGACCAGCATCTGGGAAAAACCAGTGTCTCAGCTGGTGCCTGGGTCTCTGGGTATAGATATCGGACGGACTTAGGGTGCATGCTGGTATTTAAGAGACCAGTGAACGTAAGTGTGTGAGGTGAGTGAGTGGATGTATGCACATGTTCTGCAAGCAGCCTCCATTCCACTAGACTGGGATGGGACAGACCGCCTCAGTCCTGAAGTCCACTAAATGTGATTACCTCAAACAGGCTACCTCTAAGCTAATATTACTCAGCAGAAGGTGGTCCTCAAAGCAAGAGTTCAGCAGGGCTGACTGTCAGCTCACTGGTATGTTTAGACTCCAGAGTAGCTGTCAGAGCAGACGCCGCCACAATGACTTTTGTAACACTCCCCCCCACCCCCCCATCCCATCACTTCTGCTTGCAGCACGCAGGTAGGTTATCAAGACACGCTTGGCCACATACTAACATCTCTGCTAGACTCAAAACACACAATCCAACTTGATCCAGAGCCACAGAACCTGCTGAAATACCTAAGAAAGAAATCCGGTCGCGAAGGCAGCATGGGGGGGGGGGGGGGGGGCTCGGCACACTGCTTTGACACACTCTCTCGCTCCACTTACACTAGCACCCTCAACTTTCCCAGAACGTTTCATCGCCACAAAGGCCAACTGGCATGGAAAAGTCCACGTGCATGGTAACTCTCCAGAACACGACGCCTGCTTCCAAACTGCCTAGCAGGAGCTCACGAGCTGTGGGAGAGCCCTAACCAGCCCCCAGCCTTGGGCCAAAACTCTGCCGCGGGCTGCTGCTGGAGTCTAAGAGCAGGGATGTTGTGGCCCTGTGCTGGCGGCCTTCCCGGCACCGCCTCACCTCCCGCTCCAGCCTCTGTGTCTCAAGCTGAAGACCCAAGGCAGACGCAACTGGACGTGGCTTTTGCAGAAGCAATTGATCTTCCATGAGCCTCAAAGACTGGGAATGAAATATTACAGGTGCCTTTAAGGTCTATTTTCGCTGTTGATGGAGTCTTCTCTGCGAGACTGGTAAATGTGAATAAAACATTTTGGCAAAATCTCTGCTGGCAAACTAAAGGCTGCCGGGAAAGGCTCTTGGGGCCTAGGACTCGCCCATCTCTGTCATTCAGCTGCTACCACTGCCTTCTAATTCTAGAATTAGTTAGAGCAGTCCCTGGTTTGGTTTTGGCCCGGGCCAGCCGGCTCTCTCCCTGTCGCTGCCCACCCGCCCTTCGGGCCGAAAACCAAGAGCCGGCCTGGACGTTTCGGGGTTGACGAGCCTGTTCCGCGCCAGTTCGCCTCAG